AAAAGTTTTCCTGCTATCTAACCTCAATTTCCCTTACTGTAGATTAAGCCCATTTACTTCTTACCTTATCTTTACTGGCTATGGACAATACTTGACCACCATCTTCTTTGTAACAGCCCTTAACCTATTTGAAGACATATCAGATGCCCCACCCACCCCCTCCTCTTTTCTTAAGACTAAACATGCTCAGTTTGTTAACGTTTCCTCCTAGCTTACGTTTTCTATATATTTAATTGTTTTTGTGGTTCTGCTCTGGACTCTGATTTGTCCACATCTTTTTTAAAGTGAGGCACCCCCAAATTGGACATTCTCCCATTGATGCCTCACCTGTGCAAGGTGAGACAATAACCTCCTATGTCTTGTTAATACATCCCAGAATGAAATTAGTCTTTTTTAAAAAACTGCATCACATTGTTGTCTCTCATTCAGTTTGTGAGCCACTATAATCCCAGGTCTGTAGTGGGCCCCCGTGTGACTCACCTACATAGTAAATAGGAAGATTCATACAGAGCAGATCCCCAGGCCCCATGTCTTACTCTGTGTATTGCTGAGGAATGGATTGCTTCACTATCCCAACTCACGCTGTCCTCCCCACTTGCACACTTTCAAGCACAGGAGACCTTCGTGACTGCAGAATAGGAGCCAATTTTTGTCCTAAACTGCAGTGTTTGGTTTTTGTACTCACATGGAAGAGAAAAGACACTCTGAACTTATTCTCACCATGGTCTCAAGAGTTCCTCTCCACTATGGCCAGCCACAAAAAATGGTTTTGACAGAAAGCCCGCACAGCCTGTGCTGCAGGTGGTAAAATGGTTCTACTTTGCCATTTTAACACACAACTTCATTGGCCAGGAGCACTATTCATAATACATTCTCTCTTTTCCAATTACAAGGGTATATACTCCATCTGAATGCCACTCTATCAAAGAGCTGGCATTCTGATTTCTTTGGGGACCTCTGCATGCACACTAGTCAAAAAATAGATGCTGGCATGTAAAGGAGAAATATACAGCAGTTTAATCTTAGTTTAGAGCTCTAGTCTCAAGTGAATGTTTGTTCACGGCAAGAAAACTACAAGCCAGCTGGCACATGTCAGCAAATTTGGCAGTTTCCGTTCAGAGATGCCCAGGAGTGAAATAAAAGAGATACTACCACTCAAGAGTGATGTGTCATGGCAGAGCTGGGGGGAGGTAGCTTGTATCGCATCTGTCTGCAGTAGGCCTGGTACTGTCGCCCCTGAATATTGGAATGCAAGAGGAAAGCTGCAGGTCAGGGGTGAAAACCCTTTGACAGTTAATATCCTAGAGGTGAGGGGCAGCTGAAATATTAGGGGCAAGTAGACATCAAGTTTGAGTGGAATCTGCAAAACCAGGACTGAATCAGCAGGGATCTGACAGCTGAGAAGCAAAGTGACAATGTTTTGAAAGCAGCATACAGGAAAAGCAGGTGTGTAGTAGGATATTGGTCAAGAATAAAGAGGAATTAATGTGCAAGATGGATCAAGACAGGAATAAACATATGTAGGTCAGAAATCAGATATAGTGGTGGAGCTGTGTGAAGAGAATTGCAGTTCTAGAACAGAAGGATGTTAGTGGGTTACAACAGAGGCATTGAGAGGGGAAATATCAACTCATCTAGATAGTTGCCTAGTTTTACAAGAGGTTACGTCCCTGACAAGTGTTTGTCTAACCTGTTCTTAAAACCTCCCATGATAGGCATTCCACAACACAGCAAACTCAGCACAAATGAAAATTTCATACAAACCAGTTGTTTATATTGCTCTATGTACTATTCACGGAAGTACAAGTACAATATTTATATTCCAATTGATTGATTTTATAATTACATGGAATAATGAGAATGTAAGCAGTTTTTCAGTAATAGTGGGCTTATGACACTTTTATATTTTTATGTCTGATTTTGTAAGCAAGTAGTTTTTAAGTGAGATGAAACTTGGGCATACACAAGACAAAATCAGGAAGTGGGTCTGGCCCATGAAAGCTCATCATCTAATAAACCATCTTGTTAGTCTTTAAAGTGCTACATAGTCCTGTATTTTGCTTCAGCTTATAGGGAACACTGGATGTTACAGGCAGTCCCCGGGTTACATGGATCCGACTTACATTGGATCCCTACTTACAAACGGGGTGAGGCAACCCCACACTAGCTGCTTCCCCCCAGCAGACCAGGGAGACGTGAAGCTAGCACCCCCTCCCCAGCAGACCAGGGAGACGCAGAGCGGCTTTTCTCAGCAGACACTTCAGCTTGAGAATAAAGGATTGAGGGAAGTGAGGTATGGGAGAATAAAACTGAGCTCTGGAGAAATGTTTGGCTAGAGTTTCCCCTACTATATGTACCAGTTCTGACTTACATACAAATTCAACTTAAGAACAAACCTACAGTCCCTATCTTGTACGTAACCTGGGGACTGCCTGTACTGTGTTGCTGTAGTCAAGAAGTAACCCTATGTGCATTGCAACAGGACTATTGTTAGCTTGACTATAAGTTTGACAGCCTAACTCTAACCCTAACCCTAGGCATTGCTGTTATATTTTCCATGTGTAATTGAATTGGTTGTGAAAAAATAGAATTTCACTGGATTCCTGAAATTAAAATCTTTCCAGGGAAATCTATTCTTAGCATCAAAGGCTTTGAAAGTATGTTATTTTATGCTAAGAATACTAATCAAATCAAGGGTTAAGAAATATACTTAATTTGGCATTGTATTATGACAAAACAATCTTTGCTTTTTTCACAAACATAAATCAGAACAGCATCAATTGGCGGGGGAAGGGGAAGCGCGGGCGAGGGAGAAGAGGAGAGGAAAATGCAGGAGACTTCAGATTAAGCTCTGTTTTTCCCTGCTGTCCATCTTCCAAAGCTCCAGATCACAGCTACAGTTGGCTGAAAATTACAGGCTGAGGCTTCAAGTCCATTGAAAAGAAAAACTGAAAAACACATTTCCCGCATCCTCTCCTGAACAGCTTTCCATGCATTTTGGACTAGGTTCTGTTATTTTAATCACACTCCATTGATTCCATCCCTCTTTACTCAAAAAGTTTGGAATGTGGTTCTCCTCTGAAGAGAGAGAGAGAGAAATTCAAGGTGACTATTATATTCTGCTGTTCCTGAACGGAAGCTGAAAAAGGGCAGTGTTCACTCTCTCAGAGTGCTGTCTCTCATGGTGGTGCTTAAAGATAAATATAATCAGCTTAGAGTCGCTGTTATGTCTCCTGATTTTTTCCTCCTTTTACTGGCCTAATGACTAGATCAATTGCTTAATCAGGTTAATGAATATTAACAAGAACAGAGGCGATTTCTCTTAGCGGAATAAGGACTGAGCCATCCTGTTGTTGCACTCGGTATTAGAACTTATAGTATGAATTTAGATAAACTAGATAAAAGGTATTTTCCCTCAGAACAGTCAATACATGCTCCAGTCATAAGCCTCCATTTAGTGTCTTTTCACATCTCGTTGGAGAGTCTTGTTTCTCTTCCATGCTTAATCCTAGCCTAATCCTGCACACAGCTCACTACACTGAGTCATACCTTTCAAACCAGTTGGACTATTGTTTGATAAGAGGTATTTGCAGGACTGAACTCTAAAGCAGTAGCAACCCCCTGTTCTCACTTTGACTCCTTCACTGCTGGAGGTTTGTATTTTACTCCTGTGCTAATCTTGGACAAGAGCCATTGTTTGTGAGATAGAGATATCAAATCATGCTTCCTTTCATCCCTTTGACTGAAACAGCCTAGCCTGAAAGTCTCTAGTCCATCCATTCTTCCTCAAAGTGGATTTTGAAGGCACAGTATTACTTGTGTTCGCAGATGATGCACCATGGGAAAGAACCAAATGCTTGACAATATCTGTACTACCTGTATTTTCTAGTGCTCTTGTTTTCTAATTATATGCTTCTCTTGTTTTACAACAAATCCACAAGCAAGAGGTTTTTATTGACCGGCTAACCTCTCTCTCAAGCCTCAACATATCTTTATTGGCTTCTCCCCATTTACAACAGGATATTGGCTTTTTGCCTTTTTATTAATCATTGTAATGAGTTGATTGTCAGTGAAAGGTGCCACAGATAGTGAAGTCCATTTATCCACAGCACAGGTAAAGCAGCAATGAAAGCTTCCTCAAACTGTCCTGACAATGAGCTTTGGACCTGGCCTGGAAAAATATACTTAGTGCTGAGAAGGTTAAAGGTTTATTCAAAGCCTTGTTTTCTCCTCTGGAATGGTAAACAAAACAGAAAATTAGAACTAGTAGCGGTGATGAGATAGCTGTCCAGTGGGAACTGAACCGAGACCTCTAGCTCATTCCACATCCATAACCAAGAGCATCCATCACATGGTAATGACTTTAGGTCTTGAAAGCCACAGACAAATTCCAAGCTGGAGGTCTGGCAAGGAATGACTCTATATTCTGATGCCAAGCTCTGGAATCACCCCAGTTTCTTACTGAAATGCGTATCTTCAGAGAGCTAGAATGGTCCCTGGCAGTAGAGATTTCATATTCCTATGTGGGGCCTGTGCACTCAGGAGAAGTCTAAAGGAACTATGATGAAGTATCTGGGAAGGACAAGAAAGATTCCTCACATCATCTTCCCAGCTGCTCTCCCAAGCTGGTCTCCCAAGCCTCTTCACATTATCTGACTTTTTGTCCATCTGCTGATCACGTGCTGCATTTGCAACTTTATTTCTAATGTTTCGAACAAGAGCCTGCATGCCACTGCTATGCAATATCTTGTATAATGTGGTGATGCAGACTAGAGCTAAACAAACACTTAACATATTTTCAGAGATTAGCCTAAAGAAAGCCAAATACTTTGTTAAAAATTGTTATCTTTACAGAAAAGAATCAATTTGGCATCATCTTTGTGCCCTGATGCAAGTGCACATCCAGAAAATAAGCTTTTCTCTTCATTTCCTTTTCCTCCAGCACTCACCCTTTCTTGTAGCACTAATTCGTAGTCTTTCATTCAAACCATGGCTCTTACCTGTGACAACACTGGGGATTTTAGACAGAAAGCTCTTGACTGTTCGGATGGGAACTCCACCTGCCTTGTCATCTTGCATTCTTGTAATTATATCTTCAATCTGGCAATGGAGAAGGAAAGAATAACATTATGTTTGCAAGAACAGTGACTCTAGAGACTCATAATACTGATAAAGTATTGACACCAGCAAGAACTGGGTGCCATACAATCTTTTCATGTCATTTGCTAAGATTTGCTGAGCTATTCCAACTCCCTTGTCACTGGGGACAAGGGGAAAAGAGGTTGAGAATTGATTGATATGATGGGTGAAAAGAAGGTTTACAGGAATGATCCTAGAAGTGGAAGACTAAGTTCCAGCCATGTCAACGACTGCCATTTTCCCCCTATTGGGCTATATTTGAATTCCTTACTTAGTCAAAACTCCCATTGAAAAAAACAATTGAAAAAAAAATGAAGCAAGCAGAACATTTCAAGCAAATCTAGATAGTTTCAGTAGCTCTAGGAATGTGGGAATAGCTGCATCACACACTCATAACATAAATAAGGTAATTAGTCCAGACACAAAATAATGTTTATATATTCTAGATTAATAAATATGAAAGATGTGACAGGTCCTGCCCAAGGGGAAGAAGTTCCAGTGCTAAAGAGATAACTCATGATATCCAACATCATTTTCCCCTCTTATTCCACTTGTCTTCCCAAAAAAGTGGAACAAAGCTGAATTTGCACCCTTAAAAAGTGCAGTGCTGTGAGCTTCCTTGGGACTCAGACACATGGGGCTATGTGCATTGCTATACTATTCTGAATAGTTGGCATCTGACTAAAACTAGCTGAAGTGTGTGCGTGCATGCGAGAGCATGTGTGTGTAAAAATATTAGTGTTGATGAAAACAGATGCCAGAAAGACAAGTTAATATGTCTTTTTAGTGATATAATAGGCACAATGTGGGTGGCATAAGCAGCTCAAACTTTCTAAAACTCCCTTCTCAACTACAGCTGTGTGAATAATGGATTTTTTGGCTTGTTGGCAATTATGAAAAACAAATAAAATGCATTTTAGTTTGGGTCAAAAAACAAATTATTTTTTTTGTCAAAGCAAAAAGTTGAAAAATGGCTCGTTCAGGCTCAAATATAATAGCTCATTGCAACAAAAAATGACCGGTATATCTTTTGTTTCATTTTTAACCTTGTCAAAAAATTTTGGAAATTGGAACCAAAAAAATCATTTCAAGCTGAAAAATTGAAACATGTGATTTTGGAAAAATGTCAAAATAAAATCCAGATTTTTTAAATGAATTTTTGACCAAAGAGCAGCAAGAAATGTACATGAATAGGCAAAACATTTTGGTGTTCCAAAATCTACATTTTTTGCTTCAAGAATTTTGGCAGAGGCATTTCACCCAACTCTAGACCCAATCTTTACGTGCAGGACGATATCTAGGAGTGGGAAGGGATTTCAGTCTCCACTCCCATCTTATTGATGACATCTCTACTGAAACTGCTTTCACAGGTGGTGCTTTCTGTAATGTGGGCCATTTAGGCTATGTCTATACTATCCAATTATTTTGAAATAAGTTCAAAATAGTAACTCCCGAAATAACTATTTCAAAATAAGCTTATTCTTCTTCAGAAGCAGGAGTTATTATTTCAAAATAACAGGCTTGGTAGTGTGGATGCTCGTGTTGTTATTTTGATAGACATGCCCAGTGTAGACATGCCCTCTGAGTCACTGTTGACCTGAGCTATCTGAGTCAGCAATCTTGAGGAGAATACTCTGCTTAATAATCACCTGAGCCGTGCAGCAGTCTCTCTTTCTCTCTCTGACTCTCATTATCTACATGACCATTCTGCTAAATTTAGAGCTTATTTTCCATACAGGCAGCATAAAAGGGGAAAGGAGATAAATCTTCGAGCAGTCAGTGTTTCAGTACGGGAAGATGGTAAAATCAGGCCACTTAATTTCTCTAATAGAATCGCAACTTTTGTCCCTTTTTAATATTAATAGTAGAAGAAAAGAATTGAAAACTCAGGTAGTTCAGTGACATGCCTTCTAATTTAGCCAAACACATAACCACCAATACATTTCCCCCCTCCCCTTTTTTGAGGCCCTGATAGTTTTTATATAATGATATGTGAATTGTGAATGGATATAGAAAAGGTTTCAGGGCTTTCACTATATCCTAAAACTTCAGATTTTTTTTGACAATCTTGTTTCCAATACAATAATCCTTCACTCAATGGCTTTGATTACAAGAGACAAGAACAGGAACTGAATGCCAATTAAGTCAGATACTGAATTGCAAGCGAATGTGATTTATTCTAGATATATCTGTATGAGTCCCTGTTATGAAAAATATACCCATGCTCAAGTGTGAAATGCAGACTGCATTAAGTTTTTCAATCAGCAGAAGAAGGTGTTTTGCACTACCACTACTATGTTAGCACTAACACCATATAAAAAATACAAATAAAAGTGAATTCACTAAGATGTTTCCAATTGCAGTATCAGGAATAAAAAGATGGCAATGTGTACGTACATGACCATTTAACATAACGTAAGAACATACAGAGTCACACAGAGACTATATCTAGACTACATGCTTTTGTTGACAGAAGTTTTGTTGACAGATACGGTCGACAAAGCTTCTGTCGACAAAGAGCGTCTAGACTACATCCAGTTCGGTCAACAAAGCAAGCCCCTTTGTTGACACGACAGGACATGACATGTAGACACAAAGGACAGTGTAGATGCAATAACGCCTTCTGTCAACAGAACTCTGTCGACAAAAGATGTTATTCCTCATAGAATGAGGTTTACAGCCATCGACAAAACTGCTGAGTTCTGTCGACGTTATGTCAACAGAACTCAGCAGCAGTGTAGATGCAGGTATAGTTTTGTCGACAAAAGTCCACTTGTCAAGCCCTTCTTATAGCCATTGATGGACCTATCCTGAATGAACTTATTTATTTCTTTGTAAACCAGTTATAATTTTGGTCTTCAGAACTTTCCCAGCAATGAGGTTCACAGACTGACTGTGCACTATGTGATGAAGTACTTCCATTGTTTTGGTTTTACCCCTACTGCTGATCAATTTCATTAGGCGACGCCTCATTCTTGTGTTATATGAAGGAGTAAACAACACTTCCTTATTCACTTTCTTCAAGTCATGATTTTTTAAATCTTGTACAAAGCATATAATGTAAGATGTCAATGAAAAATTTATCCTGTTTATAGGCATGTATCATGTTTGTATATGAATATTGGCTATATAAATCTACATTTTAAATGTGTTTGCTCCTGGTATTACACCCATGAGGTAATTTATATAAATATCTGACCAACACATTGTAAATGAGCTACTCAGGTTTAATTGACCATAAAGAGCATGTAACTCTCACAATGGACCACAGAAGAATGGTCCCAGCCCATCCTGTGGATGCTTTGACCAGAATAGGGGTAATGGATGCTCATGTGAGTTATCAAGCCATGTAAGGGCATGTGACTTGCTCATGTGACACTGGACTCCATCTTGTGCATATAATTTTTCACAAATTTAAATGAGAACTTTTGTTTGGGACAGTAGAAGTCCCTTCACATAGGAGAAGGTATAAAATACCCTAGGGGCATCTCCATTTTGCCTCTTTCCTAATCCGGATTATGGATTTACACTAAAAGCAGCATATTGACTCTGGACTGAGGACCTTCCAATTTTTGGAAGTTAACAGACATTTTTCAAGCCAGCTGTCTGTAGCATCGCTGCTATAAACCAGACCCAAAAGCTTTGCAATGATTATATGTATATGACTTCCTTAACCATTTTAAGGGTCTCCTTTTTCTTTTCTCTTACAATAAATGTTTAGATATTAGATACTAAAGGATTGGCAGTATGATTATTGGATACGATCTGAGTTATATATTGACATGGCTACGTAACTAATCTCTTGGGATTAGCATTTGTATGCATGCACTTACAAACTTTGTCAATATTTGTTGTCTAACTACATATCATGTAACTGAATGAGGTTCTTTCATTTGGTTGTTTCTCCATTTGGTTGTTGTGCTTCATTATCTTATATCCTCTCTGCTTTACTAGAGAATGTCCAGTAGTAGATCCTCCCCATAGGATGTCTCTGTCCACACTGTGTGCTCCTGTGCAACTATCAGCTTTTGCATCCTGAATGTTTGAAAACTTCTCTACAACCTTTTACATTTTAAATGCCAGTAATCTAGTTCCATTTTGGTTTAGGTGGAGCCCCAATCTTCCAGTGTAAGGTCCTTCTTTCCCGAGAGGTTCCCCAGTTCCTAAGAAATTTAAAACCATTCTCTCTACACCATTGTCTCATCCATACATTGAGACCCTGCAGTTCTGCCTGTTTAACTGGCCTGCAGGTGGAACTGGAAGCATTTTACAGATGGTTACTATGGACATCTTGGACTTTCGTCTCTTACCTAGAAGCCTAAATTTGGACTCAAGGTCCTCACTCTGATCTTTCCATGTGTCACAGTTACCTATATGTACTATGATCACCCACTCTTCCCCAGCACTGCTCATAAGTCTGTTTAGATATCGAGAGAAAGCTGCATCCTTTACATACAGAAGATAATTTGCCATGTGATTCTCCTGGTCATCACAAACCCAATTATCTAAACTTCTAATAATCAAATGTCCCATAACTATTATCTGTCTCTTCCTAATAACTGGGGTTCCCTGCCCCAGAGGGGAATATCCTCAATGTGAAAGAATACCATGACAGCACGTGGAATAATCTTCTTATGCTCCAGGTTGATGTCTTTTTCATCTGAGACTTTCATCTGTCTCAACAGCAAAGAGGCTGCTGTCAGACTGAGGGTGAGACTGCTCTGCCATGTCCCAGAAATTTTCATCTATTCACCTCTCAGTATCCCTTACTTACTCTAGTTCAGCCACTCTGGTCCAGAGTCCAGACTCACTGTTTGCGTGCCATGACCTGCTTGCACCAAATGCATACGTATACCACCTGCTCGCAAGGCAGGTACTGTTCATGCGACATTCAGATCAATCAATTGGCTAGCCCATACTTGGCACAAAAGCATATGCCCAAATATAGTGAGGTCTGATTG